AGTTTTATCTCTATGAAAGAAAAAACTACATGTATTTATGAAGCTCAGTCAGAATTTCCAGTCATATCTTGTTCCAAGAAAAAGAAAGTTTGATTTTTTGGTGGGGGTTTTTGTTGTTATTTCTTTGCTTTTATACAAATAAGAATATTTTGCCATGTGCATTGTGAAAACTATCATTGAATAGAGTTTGTGTAACAAGCTGTTGCTTTCTTGAAGATGCATGGTTGAAAACTCTTTATGATGGTGAGGCCTGTTTTCTTCATTTTGTAATTGTCATAATCTACCAGAAATAATATCTAATACCATGTGATTCTATGGCTGTCTCGCACATGGATGGTATAATATATCTCTGTTTCCTCCAAGCCAAACCCCAATCCTCTACTTCTGTTTCTCTACTTGCCCAAAGTCCCTATAATTGTCACTTGGTAATGTATAGGAGCATTCATGAACAGAGAGGGAAAGGGCATTCTCGTATTCTCCTGCCAATACTGTGTGCTGCCTAATGTCATAAACAGTAAATCCTTTATGCTGGAAGCCTGCTCATTTTCACACCATTCGCTTGCTCCCTTGCAGTTGTCCAGATTTTTAGATTCAGCCTCTTACATTAATCCTACAACTGCTGGTCCAGACAGGTGCAGGGATCAGAGCAGCTCCGTTAAGCAAAACATCTGGCTTTCAAGAGATAATGGGCTCTTTTTACTCCCTCAAGTCATAGGGGAAATGTGAGGTCTTCAAATGTTAAAACCACATAATTAAGCTTTAATATTCACTTATATACATCCAACATGCCCCCCAATACACACACACAAACACACTGCATCTATATGCAGACAGACACAGAGCCTTGATGGACATTAATGTAGCACTAGTTTCTTTATAAAACAAGACCTCTTGTGAATAAAAGCCAACAAGACATGAGGATCTGCCTCTGTGGCAACCCCTTCCTCTCTGAGCCTGAGCAGGTACTTACTGGAACTCTTGCTCTCATAAAAGCCTAAAGATAACTCTTTACAGGAAGAATATCTCTAGGCTCAATGACGCTCTCAGATTTTATAGTTTTATGAGTTCAAAACAAATTATATGTGATTCAAGAATAGAAAGATGAGCTTGAGTATGCCTGACAGAAGCCTTCCCATTTAGATTCTACTTCTGATAGGAGCTGAGCATGATAAAACACTGACATTTATAAGTTCTCCCAGTCCTAACCATAAGAGAATTTTCCAATTTCATTGCTGTTGTGACTGAATTGTTGTCCAGTTCTCCATAGGAAAATATAAGTATCACAATGATTCCTGGTTTTCCATAAATTTGAGGAATTCAGCAGAAAACACACTTTCTGATAACAACATTACTTTGCTTTCAGAAGTCAAATATAATTTGTGCATTCACTGCCACAACTATGCAACAGAGTTCTCATCACCATCATCACCTAGTACAGAGCATTGGTCACAAGATGCCAGTTCAGTCATGTTTGACGAGGCTCAGTCATCAACCAATGTTTGGACAAGGCAAAAACCAAAACTCTGGCTGGTATTTATGTATAAGCAATAAAACATGAAGAAGTTAGTATTTTCAGAGCTGACCTTCCCGACCTGAAGATTGGTACATAACTGTACAAATACAAAATAAATTTGTACTTGTTTAAGAACATGAAGAATTACAATGTTACAACATTGGGTCTTGGGAAGTGATGCAAGAAGTAAGAGAGCTTGCTGGGCAGGTACTCATGTCTGAATTTTCATCTCTAGCACCTATATAAAAAAATTGGTCACAACAAATTCTTGCCTATAATTTCAGCACTGTGGAATAGAGACAGAATAATTGCTGGAGCTTGCTGGACCCAGCTTCAAGAGACTGTCTCAAAGGAGTAAGGCAAAAGAAGAGAGTAATAGTAATAGTCTAAGTCGGAGTTCTGAACATGGTCTTTATCCAGAAACACTAGCATCATTGAAAAACTTGACAGAAATATAAACTCACTAGATCCACTCAGACCTACAGAATCAGAGATTGGAGATGGAACCACTTAATGGATCTAATCACACCAAAGTCTGAGCCACACTAAATCAGGAAACAAAGGAAGCTGGAGGGAACAGTGCCAAAACACTGACAGGCATGGTTGGCCAGAGGTAGTGACTCATCGTTTGTAGAAGAATAAAAGTCTGGGAAAATTCTCAAGTTTGAGGACTGCTATTACTGCTACAGTATAGCACCACTTATTAAATGAAGACGAGGAGGGTCAATTCCCAGCAAACAGGAAGAATTGCATTCGAGATTAAAGACATAAATACGATTTCCTCTCTATCCACACCATGATTCTACTTTCTGATGCTCGGAATCATTTAATCACGAATGGTTAAGATATCATAAAATAATAGTAATAATAATGATCAGTATAATACAAAATAAATTATAATTATCAAAGAATATAATGTGTTGATCTGTACCCTGGACTTAACCCAAAGAACTCCTAAACCTAATAAACAACTTCAGCAAAGTGGCCAGATACAAAATTGACTGAAAGAAATCAGTAGCCTTCCTCTACTCAAAGGAAAAATAGGCTGAGAAAGAAATTAGGTCAACTACACTCTTCACAATAGTCACTAAGAATATAAAATATCTTGATGTGACTCTAGCCAAGCAAGCGAAAGATATGTATGACAAGAACTTCAAGTCTCTAAAGAAAGAAATCAAAGAAGATCTTAGAAGATGGAATAATCTCCCATGGTCATAGATTGGCAGGATTAATATAGTAAAAATAGTCATCTTGATGAAAACAGTCTACAGATTCAGTACAATCCCTAACAAAATTCCAACTCAATTCTTCATTGAGTTAAAAAGAACAATTTGTAAATTCATTTGGAATAACAACAACAACAACAAAAAAAAAAACCAGGATAGCGAAAACTATTCTCAACAATAAAAGAACATCTGGGGGAATCACCATCCCTGACCTCAAGCTATACTACAGAGCAATAGTGATATAAATTGCATAGTATTTGTACACAGACAGACACGGTGATCAAAGGAATAGAATGGAAGACCCAGACGTGAACCCATACACCTATGGTCACTTGATCTTTGACAAAGAAGGTAAAATCATCCAGTGGAAAAAGACAGTATTTTCAACAAATGGTGCTGGTTCAACAGGAGGTCAGCATGTAGAAGAATGCAAATTGATCCATTCTTATCTCCTTGTACAAAGCTCAAACCCAAGTGGATCAAGGACCTCTACATAAAACCAGCTACACTGAAACTAATAGAAGAGAAAATGGGGAAGAGCCTGGAACACATGTGCACAGGGCAAAAATTCCTGAACAGAACACCAATGGCTTATGCTTTAAGATCAATAACTGACAAAAAGGACCTCATAAAACTGCAAAGCTTCTGTAAGGCAAAGGACACTGTCAATAGGACAAAATGGCAACCAACAGATTGGGAAAAGATCTTTACCAATACTACATCCAAAAGAGGTCTAATATCTAACATATACAAAGAAGTCAAGAAGTTAGACTCCAGAGAGTTGAATAACCCTATTAAAAATTGGGTATAGAGCTAAACAAAGAATTCTCAATTTAGGAATATTGAATGCTGAGAAGCACCCAAAGAATGTTGAACATCCTTAGACATCAGGGAAATGCAAATCAAAGTAACTCTGAGATTCTACCTCACACTAGTCAGAATGACTAAGAAAAAACTCAGGTGACAGCAGATGCTGTTGAGGATGTGGAGAAAAAGGAACACTGCTCCATTTTTAGTGGGATTGCAAGCTCATACAACTACTGTGGAAATCATTCTAGGGGTTTCTCAGGAAATTGGACATAGTATTACCTGAAGACTCAGCTATACCCCTCCTGAGCATATACCCAAAAATGTTCCAACATATAACAAAGACACTTGTTCCACTATGTTCATAGCATCCTTATTTATAATAGCCAGAAGCTGGAAAGAACCAAGATGTCCCTCAACAGAGGAATGAATACAGAAAACATGGTACATTTGCACAATGGAGTACTAGTCAGTTATTAAAAACAATGACTTCATGAAATTCTTAGGCAAATGGATGGAATTAGAATATATCCTGAGTGAGGTAACCAAGTAACAAAGAATACACATGTTATGTGCTTACTGAAAAGTGGATATTAGCCCAAAAGTTCAGAATACCCAAGATACAATTCACAGACCACATAAAGCTCAAGAAGAAGAGAGACCAAAGTGTGGATTCTTCAGTCCTTCTTAAAAGGGGGGAAACAATATACTCAAAGGAGGAAATACGGAGACAAAGTGTGGAGCAAAGACTGAAGGAAAGGCTATCCAGAGACTGCCCCACCTCAGAATCTATGCCATATACAGACACCAAACCTAGACACTGTTGTGCATGCCAAGAAGTGCTTGCTGACAGGAGTCTGATATGTCTGTCTCTTGAGAGGTTCTGCCAGAGCCTGACAAATACAGAGGTGGATGTTCATAGCCAACCATAGTGTACTGAGCACTAGGTCCCCGATGTAGGAATTAGAGAAAGGGATGAAGGAGCTGAAGGGGTTTGCAACCCACAGGAAGAACAACAAATATCAACCAACCCCCCACCCAGAGCTCCCAGGATCTAAGCAAAGAGTACACATGGAGGGACCCATAGCTCCAGCTACATATGTAGCAGAGGATGGCCTCATGGGACATCAATGGGAGAAGAGGCTTTTGGTTCTGTGAAGGCTGGATGCTCTAGTGTGGGAGAATGTCAGGAGGGTAAGGTGGGAGTGGGTGGGTGGGATAGGAGGAGAGAGGATGGGATAGGGTGTTTCTGGAGCGAAAGCCTGTAATAGTGATAATGTTTGAAATGTAAATAAATAAAATATCCAATAAAAAAGAGTATAATGTGTTGTGTTTTGTCTGAAATAATCAGATAAAGTGAGATACATGCTTTCCAACCAATATCTATGCCTTTATTGCTTTCAGATAGTAGTCTAATCTATACACTACAAAAGGGAAATTTTAAAAACCCAGAGTATACCCCATAGGTACTACAGGTGTGGTCACTGTGTCACCTGTGCATCAATAGATGGCAGGGATGAGAAAGGCTATGTCTATGCTCAGTGTTCTGACCTGTATACATCTGAGTGATCAATAGCCTAGTACTGCCTAGGAAAAGCAAGCCTGAAATAACCACCAGTCTAGCACCAGGCAGTCCTGGACAGGCTCCCAGGATGGATAGCAATCTGGAGGCTAGAAGAACCCTGCCTGAGACTGCAGGCCCTGCAGGCTGGAATGAGTCCAAGATAGACAACAGAATCCTGGCCCTCTGCTCTGTGCAGGCCTGTACCAACAGACCATTCCTGGGATGACCCCTAACTGGCAGCATACTACATGAGCAGGGCATAACACTCTGGAAACCACTCCTGAGATGACCTCAGACACTCAGAGACCTCCAAGAGTAGCGCTACTCTGTTCTTGGCCTCAGGCCTTGTCTAGTCGGGAGCATGGCAGGCCCCATAAAAACAAGCCAAATTGGGCCATGTTGTTTTAAATATTATCCTCAACAAATGACTCACCAACTTCAGGCACGGATTCACTAGAAATTTAAGTCTATTTCACCTGAGAGTAAAAGTTGTATTTTTTTTTTTAAAAAAAAGTTAGTGAGTAAGTAGCACTGATTCGAGTCATGTGACTCCGGTGGGGAAACCTTAAACAAAGAAACTGCTCACAGGCAGGTCCCCTGTTGTGAGAAATTGCAGGCTGCTGCAATCAGAGCCAAATAAATAAATTTCTACTGGGTACCGTGTGGATGGCGAGGTTCAGCCAAGCTTTGTAGAGACAGCGTGGTGGATTGGTTGCTCTAGCCACCACGATGGCGTCTCGTGGGTACCAGGGCTGGTGTATCTTGGCCTCAGGCCTTGTCTAGTCGGGAACATGGCGGCCCCATAAGAACAAGCCACTGTTCTAAATATTAACCACAGCAAGAAAGTCTGGAAAAAATGGCTAAAATGATGGTGCTAAAGGCTAATCAAGGAACGCTGCATTCTGCCATGGGGCAAATAGACCTCTTGTAAATTGATGATGGGCATTTACAACCTCATAAGGCAGCTTGGTAGGTTTTGAAAATGTTAGGGACATGCATATCATACAGTGATGCACAACACTAAAGACTCTAGTCAGTTTTGTAACACAACAGGTATATGTATGTTAGAATGTTAGAAATAAAGCTGTGCCTGTTCATCTCAGGGAATTCCAAATCCTCCTTAAACTAAGAAATGAGCTCAGGAGGTTCACAACACAACTATGCAAGAAACAGTTATTTTTCTAGAAATTGTCAATGAACATGCAATTACCCAATTAAAAATATAATGCTACTCAAAATATGAAGTATTTAGGAATAACTCTAATAAAACCTATGAGAATTTATGTGTTGAAAGTGCACAATGATGCGAAAGAGACTGAAGATTTAAATAAATAGAGACAGTTACCATCATGGATCATAAGACCCCACAAAGTAGAGCTGTCAACTTTTCCCAAATCAATATACTAACTTAGTGTAATTCCTAGCAAAATTACAATAAGATTTCTTGTGGCTACAGACATGCTTCTTGAAAGTTACTGAGAAAAAACAAAGAAACTAATAGTCAAACCAAATTTTGAAAGAAAAGAGTAAAGAGTTCAGATTACTAGCTGATCTGAATTCATAGCTACAATGAGAAAATCCACATGACACAGTAAGACAGTAGAGACAGATAGAGAAATACAACAGAAAGCCTAGAAACAGATGCATACAAATGTGTGCTCTGTTAACAAAATTCCAAAAGCAATTCTGTGGAAGAAAGATCATTTTGGTTGTTTTGTTTATTCATTTTGTTTTGTTTTCAACAAAACCAGAGCTTTCATTACCCAAAGCAAAATATTAACCTTTACTCAAGTTCCACATCTTCTAAACATTGTGATTTTTAAATGTGTGTGGAGTAAAACATTAAATCTGAAGTTATAAACCTTTAGAACAGTCTTCATGACTGGGGGTGAGATTTTTTGTTCTTAGAATTGACACCAAGAGCATGAGAAAAAGAAATGACCTGTTAGACTTCATCAAAATGAAAGTTTTGTTCCATGAGAGTCCCTGCTAAGGGATGAAAACACTTTCTATGCAAAGAGTAGAAGAAAATACTTACAAATTACTCATCTAACAATAAATCACTGTCTATAAAACACATTTGAAAAATGCTTAAAATATAATGGCTTATGCACTTCAATTAGAAAACGGGCAAAGATATGCAGAGGCATTTCAGGAAAGAGAATATACAGGCACCAAAGAAGCACATTAATTAGGAAAACTGAAATGCAAAGTTAAAACCAAGGTAAGATATCACTGTACATCTTTTAGTGTGACTGGAAGTTTAAAACAGTCCAAACATTACTTTGTGCAAGAAACGACCACATCAATGTTAGAAATGGAGAGTGGTACAGTTGTGCACAAAATCAGTTTGACTGTTTTTACAGAGCACATCTACAACTGCTGCATGATCTGACTCATTTTCTCAAACATTTATCCCAGGTAAGTGCCACACTGTAGTCACAGGAAATTCTGTGCAAAAAAAAAAAAATGTTTTAGCATACATCTTTATTCTAGCTCAAATAAGAAAACAACCCTGGGTGTCCTTTGGTGGGTAAACAAACATCTGTGTACCTATATCCTGGAATACAATAGAAAAGAATAATCTACTAAGACATACAGCAGAATGGATAAATCTCCAGAGAATTATATGAAATGGGAAAAAAGACAGTTCCTGATATCATCTGATGGCATTTGTACAATATTATAAATATTATAAAGTATTATAAATATTATAAAGTATTATAAAGCTGCCAGGCAGAATATGCCATGGGTTTACATGTAGTTTAATGCTTAAAGGAAGTGAGCAGTTACTTAGAGCTGTAAGAGTGACTGATGGAGATAAAACACTGTCAGTGTCAGTGTTCTGGATACTTGTGATTGTCAACTCGTGATTAACAACCAAACAGTTGTCATCTATGTTACTTTCCACTGTCACTTGCTTTGTGTGTATGCATGGGAGTGGGAAGCTGTGTGAATGTGTGAGTGTGTGTGTGTGTATGTGTCTGTGCAGACAAGTCCTGAGAACTGAACCAAAAGCTAAGTAGGGTCTCTGCCACTATGCTAGATCTCAGCTGCTATTCCTGCTTCCTGCTCATCCTCTTCCTCTTCTTTGGCTTCCCCTTTCCTCTCCTCTCTTCCCTCTTGGGTGTCTCTAACTTGTGTGAAATGGTCACATGAAACCAGCCACTAAAACTGACCCCTTGTCAACTTGACGCACAAACATATCACTATTAAGCCCAACCCTTCCTTTCTTATTCCTTCCCAAGATCTTACATTAAAAATAAATAACTTTAAAAGCCCCACAGTCTTTACAAATTAAAACACATTAAAATTTCAGTCTATTGAAGATGTGTAGCTTGATCTTCATGTGGGTCTTGAACAACTGGAGCAGAAGGGCTATCCCAAAACTTGTAGCCTATACATTGAACTGAGCTGCCTTGCCTGGCCTCAGTGGGAGAGCATGTGCCTAGCCTAGCAGATTTGATGTGCCAAAATGGTGGATGCCCAGGGAAGCCCTTACCTGCTCAGAAGAGGAGAGGAGGGAGGGGGAGGATTGTGGCTCGGGGTGGCCAGGAGAGGAGCAGTGGGCAGATGTAAAGTGACTAAATAAAAGAAAATAAAATGTAAAAACAAAATTCAGTCTCTTTGAGATATGCAATCTCTCTAAAAATCCAAACTCTCTTTTTAAATTTGAAGGTCTTTCAGTTGTGAACTCCTGTAAAAATCAAAATTAAATTAAATACCTTCTTCAAAAGGGAAGAACCAGGGCATAGCCACAATATGAACCAAACTAAACTCCAACAGTACAAATAACTTAATGTCCAATGTCTGGGATCTACACACAATCTTCTGGGTTCCTCCAGAGGGCTTGGGTTACTTCTCTAGCTCTGCCCACTGGAACACACACAGTTTGCCTTCTAGGTTCTGGCTAGTTCCACTACACTGCTGCTGCTGTTCTTGGTGGTCCTCCCCTGGTACTGGTACCTCCAGAACTGCTGGGATCTTCTGCTGCAACTGGGCTGCACTTTTACCAATAGCCTCTCATAGACTTCCTTTCTAGTGCCAAGCTTAAACTTCTTGCAATGAGTCCCTCAGTCCTGGGCCTTCAGTTGCCACTGAGGCCTTCACCAATAGCTTCTCCTGGCCGCTCACAGTGTCAAGCCTCAGCTGCTCTCCATGACTCCTTCATACCTTTAAAATCAGTATGGACTGACAGAACACATGTCAATTTTTCTGTTAAATATTAGCAAACCATAATTTTGCTATCTGCAGACACAGTGTTGATCTAAAAATGATGTGTTCTTTTTCCATGTCAGTGGATTCTCTTAAGAACATCCAGGGACATTTACCTCAAAACTGTCAGATTAAAAGAAAAATGGCACACTCCAAACTCAGGCTTACTAGAACATTAATTAGTTCAAATGTTTTTAAAAAGAGGACTTTTAATCTATTTGAGTTGATTTTTTTAAAAATCTTTAAATCTTTTCCTTTGCTATATCAAGTATCTATGTAGATATATTATAGGTTAGTATAGCTTCACTCCCACACTAGGGAAGAATATAACCTCGCTTTTGGATTATTACATATTCCTATAGGACATATTTATTTTGTCCTATAAAGCAACTTAAACCTGTACCAGTTTCTGAGCCATGAAACAGTAGACTCATAGAATTACCAAGCATTTGGAACTGGAACAAATCTTAGGGGTCAGAAGTTTATTGTGCTTGTTATTGTTCATGTCTAAATTCTAAATGAGCTGAAAGATCCTTGTTCAAGTGAAACTCTGAGATAATCTGATCTTCAGGCAACACGAACCACTAAATCTTGCATCTGTCATATAAATTGATTATAATGAGTCAAATATCAGATACTTGGTTCCGTTCTAACATTATTTTCATGAAACTAGAGCATATAAATGCCCCCCCTTTGGCAACCCAAGGGTAGAGCAGGAAAACAATGAGAAGGGATTCTAAGTTCTGAATATCATGCAGTATTTTAACTGGAATCCTCATTTGTGGCACCCTGGGGAAAATGGCTCT